ATTGAAGCTTCCTGGTCTTCCATAACACCTCAGCAGTGCCACAGGCTGGTAGCTTCCATGCCATGCCGCATTGAGGCAGTAATTGCTGCAAAAGGGTCCCAAACCAAGTACTGAGTACATATGCATGCTTATAAAAATACAAAAAAAGTGCAGCGCTAACAACCTATACTAAAATACAAATGAGATAAATGGAAATATCACATACAGAATGCACAATAAATATTCAGTGTTAGGTGCTCATAAAATGAATACTATGCACAGCAGTCCATAAATGCCAATGATGGTGAAAGATCACAGCAAAACTCCGTGAGGTGATCAGAGTGCCACTCAGTGTGCGGTCAATCCACAGATGGCCAAGATGGCCCCTCACCTCCTTGATGCGACCCGCTGGGCCAAACAGCTATGTAGGTGACCTTATACACCCAATAAGGTATCATCAAAGGATGGAACGTATGGATAGATCCCTCCAATATCTTCTCCTATCTCCTAGGTACTCGATTCCACAAAACCGTTTAAGATACCATTAAAAACAAAGAAGATCCTCCATAGTGTAATCCAGTTTTAATAATAACATGAATATAAATAAAATGCCTACTCACATGTAAAATGACAAAGATCAGCTTTTTCCCATATCATGGGTGTGTTTCCATGGTTCTCATGCTAAGAAATGCATGCAGCTCCACTTGCTCCACAATCCCGCCGGAAATGACGTCACCGTGCCACCGGAAATGATGTCAGTGCGTACCTTAACACGTTTACGTCACGATCCACGTGACTTCCTCAGAGTGAAACGCCCATACTGACACATCAGCCATTTATAGGCTGCAGGGGCGTCACCCTGCCCAGTGGGAAGACGCTCACCGCAGCCATGATAACGGAGCACAATACACTACTTGCAGCGATGCATTAATGCCCTCTATGTCCTTATAACTGGCAGAAAAAAACAAAAACCCCAACTTTAATATTTAAAACCAAACCACTTTAAATGGCAAAACCCCCTCAGAAGGGTAATCTAAATCTAATTTTTGCAAAGAGTATATATATATATATAAAATCATGAAGGTGCGGGACAGCCTTCATCATAGAAAGAATAGGCTAAAATACCTGCAATCTTTACCATAAATAATCAGAAGGTGCGGGAAATCCTTCCTCCTATAAAAATCTAAAAATCTAAATATGTGTATATATAAACATATACACACATGTATATTTGTCTTTATAGCATCATGCCCCATGTAAACACACACATCCCAGGATCACAGATATAATGAACTATATATATTTAAAAACATAAAATGCCATTACAATAAATAAAAATAAATATAAAAATAAAAAAAAAAAAATTAAAATGAAATAAAATAAAAATTCCACATATCCTCAGAGTTAGCAGCATATATTCAAATCTTCAAAAAAAACCCCAAAAATACATTATTTATTTGTCACACAATTCCGCAGATAAAGAAAAATGTTCCATTCCTAATAGTCACTGATGAAGCAGTTAAGGTCAAACTCCACATTGAGACCCTTAGGTGTTAAAGTTTGCATTAAAAAAATCCACTTTGATTCGGCTCTACTGAGTGACCTAACTTTGTGACTGCCCTTCCAATGACCATTATATTTTTAAATCCCCCAATATTGGAGAGAAGAAGGATCCTTATTATGATGAATCAGAAAATGCTTCGAAACATTATGTTTCGGGAAACCTTTTTTAATGTTCTGTATATGTTCACGAATACGTTTCCATAATGGTCTCTTTGTCCGACCCACATATTGCAACCCACATTTACATTGTAGGCCATATACCACCCCCTCTGTTTTGCATAAAGGTTTTACGCCTCGTGTTAGTACCTACCTCTCGTCTCTTGTACTAACACGAGGCGTAAAACCTTTATAACCACCCATAGTGGAGAGGAATTTAAGATCAGAGACTTCATTTCATGCAAAACAGAGGGGGTGGTATATGGCCTACAATGTAAATGTGGGTTGCAATATGTGGGTCGGACAAAGAGACCATTGTCTATATCTGAATATTTATTGTGCATTCTATATGTGATATTTCCATTTATCTCATTTGTATTTTAGTATAGGTTGTTAGCGCTGCACTTTTTTTTGTATTTTTATGTTCTTTCCTTGTGGTTGAGGCGAGTGTGTGCTGCTTATTAATAGGTGTTCCATTGAGCGCAGGAGTTTTTTTTCATTATCTAGTAATATGCATGCTTCTACTTTTCAGAGGTCCGATATTGTTCTATGTACAATCCTTGTTTTATTGATTGCATGTAATATTCTAATTTTCTGAGATTGTGGATTTGGGGTTTTCATGAGCTGTAAGCCATAATCATCACAATTCTGACAAATCACGGCTTGAACTATCTTGCTTTGCATGTAATGAGTCTATCTCATATATTAGTTTCACCTTTTAAGTTGCTGCACTGAAATAAATGAACTTTTGCACGATATTCAAATTTTTCGCGTTTCACCTGTATGTAAAAGAATTGACTGTGGTTAGCCTTATTTGTATATAAATTTGCCTTTACTATGCACACTCATGAACTGCCATGTGATCTAAATTCTTCTGTAGAAGTCACCCACATGGAAGAAAAATATATTTGAAATATATTTTAAAAATATTCTTCCCAAAATATATTGACATATATTTGAAATGCTACAATTTTGGCCATATTTAATATATTTATTTCAAAAATATATTTCATATATAATATGCATGTTGAAATGCGTTTTTATATACATTACAAAATACTGTATTTTTCGCTCCATAAGACGCACTTTTTTCCCCCCAAAAAAGGGGGGAAATGTCAGTGCATCTTATGGAGCGAATATAAAGTAGCCGGTCCGGTATTACTGCCGCCACCATGTCAGAATATCGGGCTGGCCGCTCAGCTCTTCTCTCCTACAGAACCTTACCTGTTCCTATCTCCAGCGCTGTAGTCTTCCTGTGCCGGCTTCTGTTACAGCCGGGTGCCCACTGCGCATGCGCGAGAAGCACTGCGCTTTGTGAATGGTCCGGTGTCTTCTGGGACACATGACAGGTCCCAAAAGGTGCCGGGCCATTTACAAAGCGCAGCGCTTCTCACGCATGCGCAGTGGGCACCCGGCTATCACAGAAGCCGGCGCGGGAAGAAGAGGGAAGGACAACTCCGCGGAAGTGGGAGCGGGTACCTGTCAAATTCAGGTACCCGCTCCCCCTCCCTCCCCAAAGGTCCGCAGTCTCTGGTCATCCCCTGCACTGTCTGCAGTCTCTAGTCATCTGTACTATGTCCCTGGTATTTTCCCTGTACTATGTCCGCAGTCTGTGGTCATCTGTACTATGTCCACAGTCTCTGGTCATTCCCTGTACTGTGTCCGCAGTCTCTGGTCATCTCCTGTACTATGTCTGCAGTGTCTGGTCATCTCCTGTAGTATGTCCGCAGTCTCTGGTCATCTCCTGTACTGTGTCCGCAGTCTCTGGTCCATCTCCTGTACTATGTCCGCAGTCCCTGGTCATCTCCTGTACTGTGTCCGCAGTCTCTGGTCCATCTCCTGTACTATGTCCGCAGTCTCTGGTCATTTCCTGTACTGTGTCCGCAGTCTCTGGTCATCTCCTGTACTATGTCCGCAGTCTCTGGTCATCTCCTGTACTATGTCCGCAGTCTCTGGTCATCTCCTGTACTGTGCCCGCAGTTTCTGGTCATCTCCTGTACTGTGCCCGCAGTCTCTGGTCATCCCCTGTACTGTGTCCGCAGTCTCTGGTCCATCTCCTGTACTTTGTCTGCAGCCTCTGGTCATCTCCTGTACTGTGTCCGCAGTCTCTGGTCCATCTCCTGTACTGTGTCCGCAGTCTCTGGTCATCTCCTGTACTGTGTCCGCTCTGTCTCTGGTCATCTCCTGTACTGTTGTCCGCAGTCTCTGGTCACCCCCTGTACTGTGTCCGCTCTGTCTCTGCTGTCATGGTCCATCCCTGTACTGTGTCCGCAGTCTCTGCAGTCTCCTGGTCATCCGCAGTCCTGTACTGTGTCCGCAGTCTCTGGTCCATCTCCTGTACTTTGTCCGCAGTCTCTGGTCCATCTCCTGTACTATGTCCGCAGTCTCTGGTCATTTCCTGTACTGTGTCCGCAGTCTCTGGTCCAGTACTCTGGTCATCTCCTGTCATCTCTGGTCATCTCCTTACTGGTGTCCGACAGTCCCTGGGTCCTCTGTACTATGTCCGCACTCTGTCCTGTGCCCGCAGTCTCTGGTCATCTCCTGTACTGTGTCCCGCAGTCTCTGGTCATCTCCTGTACTGTGTCCGCAGTCTCTGGTCATCTCCTGTACTGTGTCCGCAGTCTCTGGTCATCTCCTGTGTGTCCGCAGTGTGTCCGCAGTCCATCTCCCCTGTACTGTGTCCGTAGTCTCTGGTCATCTCCTGTACTGTGTCCGCAGTCTCTGGTCTCCTGTACTGTGTCCGCAGTCTCTGGTCCATCTCCTGTACTGTGCCCCGCAGTCTCTGGTCATCTCCTGTACTGTGTGTCCGCAGTCTGTGTCCGCAGTCTCTGGTCATCTCCTGTACTGTGTCCGCAGTCTCTGGTCCATCTCCTGTACTGTGTCCGCAGTCTCTGGTCATCTCCTGTACTGTGTCCGCAGTCTCTGGTCATTTTCTGTACTGTGTCCGCAGTCTCTGGTCATCTCCTGTACTGTGTCCGCAGTCTCTGGTCATTTCCTGTACTGTGTCCGCAGTCTTGGTCATCCCCTGTACTGTGTCCGCAGTCTCTGGTCTATCTCTGTACTGTGTCCGCAGTCTCTGGTCCATCTCCTGTACTTTGTCCGCAGTCTGTCATTTCCTGTACTGTGTCCGCAGTCTCTGGTCATCTCCTGTACTGTGTCCGCCTCATCCCCTACTGTGTCCGCAGTCTCTGGTCCATCTCCTGTACTTTGTCCGCAGTCTCTGGTCTATCTCTTGTACTGTGTCCGCAGTCTCTGGTCATCTCCTGTACTGTGTCCGCAGTCTCTGGTCATTTCCTGTACTGTGTCCGCAGTCTCTGGTCATCTCCTGTACTGTGTCCGCAGTCTCTGGTCATCTCCTGTACTGTGTCCGCAGTCTCTGGTCATCTCCTGTACTGTGTCCGCAGTCTCTAGTCATTTCCTGTACTATGTCTGCAGTCCATTGGTTCAGAATATTTTTTTTTCTTGTTTTCCGCCTCTAAAATCTAGGTGCGTCTTACGGTCAGGTGCGTCTTATGGAGCGCGAAATACGGTATATGAAAATATTTTTTTTGTAATATATTCTTCAGATTTTTTTTAACATATAAAAAATTAATTTTAGCATATATGTTTACATATATTTGTAAATGCATTCCAAAAATATAGATTTGTACTTTTAAAGACATACAGAATATATAAAATGTATTTTTAAAAATATTTTTCATATATTTTGTAATAAAAACGCATTTCAACATACAGTGTGTATATATATATATATATATTTTAAATATATTTTGAAATATATTGAATATGGCCAAAATTGTAGTATTTCAAATATATTTTTCTTCTATATGGGCATATATGTCACTGCACCATACTGCACCCACCCACACTTGGTGGCAGTCGGCAGGATATGTCCCTTCTTGCAGCGAGAGTGGAAGGAGGAAAAGGGTCCATCCTGGCACCATTAGGAACGGCCCTGGCTCTAGTACCTAATTTTCATGACTCAAATATTCCCCTGCCTGAGTGGGAGGAGAGACTAGAAAGTGCCGCATACCTATATCAGGTTCCGGTGCTGGCTATTAACGCCTTAGAGGATGATGGTGCTGCCAGAAGAGGAACGGGCCAACACTGGAACCTATTGCATGTAATATTCTAATTTTCTGAGATTGTGGATTTGGGGTTTTCATGAGCTGTAAGCCATAATCATAACAGTTATGACAAATCACGGCTTGAACTATCTTGCTTTGCATGTAATGAGTCTATCTCATATATTAGTTTCACCTATTAGGTTGCATTACTGAAATAAATGAACTTTTGCACGTTATTCTAATTTTTAGAGTTTCACCTGTATGTAAAAGAATTGAATGTGGTTAGCCTTGTTTGTGTATAAATTTGCCTTTACTATGCACACTCATGAACTGCCATGTGATCTAAATTCTTCTGTAGAAGTCACCCACATGGAAGAAAAATATATTTGAAATATATTTAAATAATATTCTTCCCAAATATATTGACATATATTTGAAATGCTACAATTTTGGCCATATTTAATATATTTCAAAATATATTTAAATAAATATATATATACTGCATGTTGAAATGCATTTTTATATATTACAAAATACCGTATTTTTTGCTCCATAAGACGCACTTTTTTTCCCCCAAAAAAAGGGGAAATGTCAGTGCGTCTTATGGAGCGAATATAAAGCGGCCGGTCCGGTATTTCTGCCGCCACCATGTCAGAATATCGGGCCAGCCACTCAGCTCTTCTCTCCTGCAGGACCTTACCTGTTCCTCGCTCCAGCACTGTAGTCTTCCTGCGCCGGCTTCTGTGACAGCCGTGTGCCCACTGTGCATGTGCGAAAAGCGCTGCGCTTTGTGAATGGTCCGGTGTCTTCTAGGACACATGACAGATCCCAGAAGGCGTCGGGCCATTCATAAAGCACAGCGCTTCTCGCGCTTGTGCAGAGGGCACCCGACTGTCACAGGAGCCGCCACGGGAAGAAGAGGGAAGGACAACTCCGCGGAAGTGGGAGCGGGTACCTGTCAAATTCAGGTACCCGCTCCCCCTCCCTCCCCAAAGGTTCGCAGTCTCTGGTCATCCCCTGCACTGTCTGCAGTCTCTGGTCATCTGTACTATGTCCCTGGTATTTTCCCTGTACTATGTCCACAGTCTCTGGTCATCTGTACTATGTCCCCAGTCTCTGGTCATTCCCTGTACTGTGTCCGCAGTCTCTGGTCATCCCCTGTCCTATGTCCACAGTCTGTTGTCATCTCCTGGTCTATGTCCGCAGTCTCTGGTCATCTCCTGTACTGTGTCTGCAGTCTCTGGTCATCTCCTGTACTGTGTCTGCAGTCTCTGGTCCATCTCCTGTACTGTGTCCGCAGTCTGTGGTCATCTCCTGTACTGTGTCCGCAGTCTCTGGTCATCTCCTGTACTGTGTCCGCAGTTTCTGGTCATCTCCTGTACTGTGTCCGCAGTCTCTGGTCATCTGTACTGTTTCCACAGTCTCTGGTCATCTCCTGTACTGTGTCCGCAGTCTCTGGTCATCTCCTGTACTATGTCCGCAGTCTCTGGTCATCTCCTGTACTGTGCCCGCAGTTTCTGGTCATCTCCTGTACTGTGTCCGCAGTCTCTGGTCATCTCCTGTACTGTGTCCGCAGTCTCTGGTCATCTCCTGTACTATGTCCGCAGTCTCTGGTCATCTCCTGTACTGTGCCCGCAGTTTCTGGTCATCTCCTGTACTGTGTCCGCAGTCTCTGGTCCATCTCCTGTACTGTGTCCGCAGTCTCTGGTCATCTCCTGTACTGTGTCCGCAGTCCATTGGTTCAGAATATTTTTTTTTCTTGTTTTCCACCTCTAAAATCTAGGTGCGTCTTATGGTCAGGTGCGTCTTACCGCGAAATAATGGTATATGAAAATATTTTTTTTGTAATATATTCTTCAGATTTTTTTTAACATATAAAAAATTTATTTTAGCATATATGTTTACATATATTTGTAAATGCATTCCAAAAATATAGATTTGTACTTTTAAAGACATACAGAATATTTGAAATGTATTTTTAAAAATATTTTTCATGTATTTTGTAATAAAAACGCATTTCAACATACAGTGTGTATATATATATATATATATATATATATTTTTTTTTTTTTTTTTAAATATATTGAATATGGCCAAAATTGTAGTATTTCAAATATATTTTTCTTCTATATGGGCATATATGTCACTGCACCATACTGCACCCACCCACACTTGGCGGCAGTCGGCAGGATATGTCCCTTCTTGCAGCGAGAGTGGAATGAGGAAAAGGGTCCATCCTGGCACCATTAGGAACGGCCCTGGCTCTAGTACCTAATTTTAATGACTCAAATATTCCCCTGCCTGAGTGGGAGGAGAGACTAGAAAGTGCCGCATACCTATATCAGGTTCCGGAGCTGGCTATTAACGCCTTAGAGGATGATGGTGCTGCCAGAAGAGGAACGGGCCACACTGGAACCTATTGAGGAATATTTACTAAAACTGGTGCACACAGAATCTGGTGCAGCTGTGCATAGTAACAAATCTGCTTCTAACTTCAGCTTGTTCAATTAAACTATGCCAATAAAACCTAGAAGCTGATTGGCTACCATGCACAGCTGCACAAGACTCTGAGTGCTCCAGGTTTAGTACATCCCCCAATTGTGTCACACTTAGAAAGTGTGTTTTGAGAGACTGTAGCCGTCCCAGAGCTAAGGTGGAGGTTCTTTTTCCAGAGGCAGCAGGAAGATGAGTCTCATTTATTTTGTGGCAGCTCTCCAAAATCTCTGGAAAAGCCTGGAGAAGAGAGATGTGCGTGGATGTGTTGATATTACCACGTCAGACCATCTACTGGGGCCCAATCAGGACGTAACCTGTCATCTCTTTCTATGACATTGTGATGGATGCAGTTGTGCGGGAGCAGGAGTATGCGGAAGAAACCATCGCAGTGACAAAAAAAATTACCTAATGCACTTGAAAGAGGAGGCCTCAGCTCCTTCACCCCTGTCAGCCTTACAGGCAGCCTTGAGGGAACTAGCTCAAGCTGTGGCTTCCTTAAAACAGGAAATGTCTTCCTTTAAATGAGCAAGAATCCGATATGGAGGGTTCCCGAGGAAGACACTTTGTATCCAAGAACTGTGGGCAGCCTGAATTCAAAACTCACACAGGCCGCCATTAAACTAGTATGCAGAGGGACGACCCTCGGGACAGTCAACACATGGTCACGCTGAGTCCAGTGGTGTCTGCTATCATCAACGACCAAGTGGTGGTCCCATGTTTAATCGACACCGGCTCCAAGGTCACTGTCATGGAGTATAACTTCTATGCCCAGAGGTTAGGTACATGAGAACAACTAGATCCCTCATGGCTGTCCCTCAAATTGGCCAATAACTTACCTATCCTGGTAAAGGGTATCACATAGGTGAGAATCCAGATAGAGGACCAGGTAGTGGACCTGTGGCTCAGTACCTGTTGTTCTGGGCATTAATGTTGTGAAAGATTTTTCCTTCTTGCTAGCCAAATTCGAACGCTCTGGCCTACAAGTAGGGAGGCTCAACATGATTTGGGCCTATGAGGCTCAACAGAGGGCCTCAAGGAAATAGTCCAAACAAGTGGGGGTTGAACACACCCCTCCCAAACAAAAGTTACTCCTGGCACCTCTTCGAGAAGTAGTCTAGTCACTACCCATCTGGGCCCATAAGAAACTCAAAGGGGCCACAGTTATTGTTGAACCCTGTAAGGATTCAGTGGCACCAGGGGAGTGGCTAGTTGCTCGCACCTTATCCAAGATCCACAAGGGAAAAGTTCTGGTGCAACTCATCCACCTGGGAACAAGCCCGATCTCACTCCCCAGCCTTGCCACCATAGCACCCCTCTATGTGGTGCCTCGTCACTGTATCTCAGAGGCCCAGACACAGGAGGAAGCAGTATGTGTCACTCTACAGGCAGCCATGGCTTCATTAGATGAAACACAATACAAACACTTGCTGGAACAGCTGGACGTACAGTACCCTTCCAAGACTTTTCTTTGCTGCAACAGTGACTACTTCATTAATTACTGGAAAAACATCTGCTAGTCTCCACCACAGGCCTGAAAGACTACGGGTTCACCAAGACCATCGACCACCCGATCCACATGGTAGATACTCCACCCATCTGGGAGTGCTTCCCCAACATTCACTCAGCCCTGTGCCAGGAGGTGAAGCATCTACTCTGCAATGTGCTACAAAGCTGGATGATATAGGAGAGCCATAGTCTCTGAGCTGCCCCCCCATAGTCCTGGTGTGAAAGCCTGTGGTTCTGTGTGGACTATCGCAAACTGTACCATTGCCTAGGGTGGAGGAATGCCTTATGGCCCTTGAGCAAGCCATTCTTCTTCACTCTCAACCTGGCCAGTGGTTGTTGCCAAGTCTCAGTAAGAGTTTAAAGCCATTGAAAAGGCTGCGTTTATCACCCCCATAATACTGTTTGAATTCAACTTGAATTGAATGCCCTTCAGATTGAGTAACTCTACTAGCACGTTTCATTTGTCTAATGGAGAAGTGTCTGGGAGATTTCAACTTTGAGACTGTTAGTCTATTTGACACCAACTAAAGTGTATGATCTGGTTTCCGAGGGCTCCAATCCGATAAAGAGGCGTTTTCACCGCAATCTACTGTGTGTAAAGTGGTGACTGCTCCACCAGATCAGCTGCGACTGAGAGATGCTCAACCCTGTGGATATTCCACCCATGAAGGGGACCCCCAAAGAATGGTTCCTGCCTACTCTCTTGTTTGAGACACCTACCTTTACTGACCAATAAAGCAACTATGGAAGAACCGACTGCTCCTTCAAACTCAGCAGACTGTTCTGATGTGTCTGAAGAAACACTCCTGGGTGAAGAATGTATAGAGACCTTAAGTGACCCCCATTCACCTATGGAGTCACAACTAGAAAATAAATCCCTGCAGCGTGACCCCACCAAACACAATGTAGTTCGCCGTCCTTTGTGGTCCAACTGCGAGCAGCAAAGTACTCTGATTATGTTATTTGAACTTATTTCTCCTGTTTTGCCATAACTATTTTTCTTGCAGTTTTCATGTTGCTCTTTACTGTGTTGCAATGTGGAGGACAGCATCTGTCAAAGAGGGGGGGAGTGTAGGCAGGTACAGTCTCTTTTCTTCACTGTAGGTGGTGATCAACCACAATGGCATTGCAGAGGGAGACAAAATCTGGAGGAACATATTCCTCTATAGTTTCCTGGGGAAGAGATAAGGTTGGATGCTGCTCTAGTAGCCATCTTGGGTCATTTAAGATCCTGGCTCAGGAGCTTGGCGCGCATTTTGCAAGTGGACAGGATAGGGACAGGTCACCCATCTGTCAGGAAGAATGAATAGCAGTAGGAAAAGGTTCCAGTTGAGCAGGGACAGGATAGAGACACGCTATCATTCCAGCAATCATCCCATTTTGGCACAGACTGGCCAAGCTACATTCCACCCTTGGGAACAGACGCTGAAGGCACTTTTTTGAGACCTGCTCCGCTCCACATTCCTGATAAGAATGATAATGTAAGTGTTCTTAGTCAGGCGCCTACCTGCTGGGGCAGTTTGTATCCCTGCACCTTGCCTTCAATACAGGTTTTGTTTATTGCAGCCAGACTCAATCAATCACTGCTGCCGCACGACGCTGTGCCCACCAACATGTGTACTGTGTGCAATGGCTTGTTCCCAACCATGTGTGGCACACAGACTCCTAATGGGTCCTGCTATTTGTCCCGAGCTCTATTCCCTACTGGGTTCAAACAGCCAGGTACACGGTAGGCTCCCAGTCCTTCCTCACAAGAACCAGGCAGAAAGTGTCTTTTTTAGATTTATTGCTTTAAACTTGGGTTGGGTGCAGGGTGAGCCTTAGAATACTCCTGAATTAGTGCAGGTAATGGAGGACACTCTATAACTGTAATGTATTTTCAGGGTGCAGCCACTCTCTTGAAGCTAACTATTAATGAACTACAGCTCAGGAGCAGGGGCGGACTGACAACTCATGGGGCCCCCGGGCAATAGGGGATCATGGGGCCCCTGTGTCCTTGCCCACACTCAAAAAAGCCTATAAAAAAGGTACCAGGGGCATTTCATGGGGCCCCCTACTGACCCCGGGCCCTCGGGCAGTGCCCGAGTGCTCGAATGGTCAGTCCGCCCCTGCTAGGGGCGGACTGACAACTCATGGGGCCCCTGGGCAATAGGGGATCATGGGGCCCCTGTGTCCTCGCCCACACTCAAACCACACCCAAAAAAAGCCTATGAAAGGTAGCAGGGGCATCTCATGGGGCCCCCTGCTGACCCCGGGCCCTCGGGCAGTGCCCGAGAGTCCAAATGGTCAGTCTGCCCCTGGTCCTAGTTGTGCAATAGCAATTGGAAATCTGCATACTGTGTAAACAGGAGCACGGGATGTTGAAGATTCTGCCAGAGGTGAAATGAGGAGTTTTCACTCACAGGACATTT